AACATCAAACAACTGCACTTCATCCCAGCAAACGGAAAAATGAAATACAACCTGCAGGCCAGCGCTTTGATCCAACCTAGCCAGGAAGCAGACCTGTAAGTGTCACGGCAGCAGCTGCACAGAGTAATCACGGACTTCATTTCACCACAGAAGGAAAGAATGCTCCAGAAACAGAAAACAGTCATCTCAAATATGTACAAATGTCTTATTTCAACTGCTAAACGAGCTGTTACATATTTTTAAATCTCTATCAAGAAAAAATAATTGAATTTCACTCTGTTATGCCAGCATTCAAAGCTACAGAGATGCCTAAAACAAAGAACTAGGTGGTATGGTCCATTAATACTACAACTTTGCAAGTGGAGTTTTATTAAAAGTCCTTCTGTTCTTTCTGACACCTCCTTGAAAACAATATATGTGTCTTTCTTCTTTGTACACACATGTAGGACAGGAGGAACTCACTGGGCACTCACCAAATCTGACCTCTGCCCGTCAGCAGCAAATGAACATGTGGGTACCTGAAACATCACTCAATTTTTTTCAGTAATGATCTTGTCTTTGATTAGAGAAATGGGGGAAAACTACACACTGCCTTCTTAGGTCAGTTGTTGCTGCTAAATGAAAGGCCCTTTTGTTCTGGAGCATCTTACAGGATTTGGCTATGCTATATTTTACAGGTTAAGACAACACACTGCCTTCTTAGGTCAGTGGTTCCTGCTAAATGAAAGGCCCTTTTGTTCTGGAGCATCTTACAGGATTTGGCTATGCTATATTTTGCAGGTTAAGACAAGAGAGCAGAATGATCCTCACTGAGGGAAAACAGAAGCAAAGAGAGAAATGAGAAGAATGGTAACGCCTGGGCCATTATCAGAGTATTAGAAACAGGGATGGTCAAACTAAGTCGCTACCAAAACTAAAAGGTCAATGTCCCTTCACTCCCTCCTCTGCCTATTTTCCCCAGATCTTCCACACAATCCATACACACAAAAAAAAGTCTGTTTGAGAGATGAGGCAGTTTGGATGGATACTGTGGAAAAGGACCATCTGAACTGAAAGACTAAAAAAACAGAGAATTTACCTACAGGGACAGAAATATCTCCCAAATACAATAATTCAGCTGAGAATATCAAACATCCAGGAATTTGCTAAAATTTGGAAGTGTATCTGAGCTTTACACAAATAATGAAATTTCTAGTCAAATGTACCCAAATCTTAAGAGCCAGGAAGATTTCCTGAACAAGTTATCACATATCAGTAGGTCAGTAACAGATTCCGATGAAAGCCACAGAAGGCCCCTCTCCAGTCCTGCTCTAGGGACACCAGCAGAAGTCAAGAAGCCAACAGCAAAGGAAGCACACCTTGAACCCCTGCCAGAGTCAGCTCTTACTCTCACCCCTGTTCTCATGGAACAATGCACTCACGAGTGATGAATTCATAGAAACACACATGGTGCCTGGCACACAGCAGATAAGCCTAGTCTCCGTAAGTAGAACTTCTTCCCCATCTACCAGCCATCTGAGGCATCTGAAAAGGTCCCTACTGACAAAGCCTGTTGGCTTATGATCAAAAGGTCCCTATTGGGGAACATGAGGTTATCTTTTCAAAACCTATTTGTTTGTTTTTTTTTTTAATTAAAAAAAATTGCCTTCTGTAACAGCTCTTTTCTGAATCACCTAATTAAAAATACTGGTTTGTATTACACAAAATTATATTTATATATATATATATTTCATAGTGTTTATGATTACATATATGCACATGTAATATAATGTATGCAGACTCCACACTCTGCATTGTTTTGCTTATTTAATGCTGTACGACAAATACTTTATTAGATACTTATACATGTTCAATAAATCCCATGTGACAGGTAAAGCAGGTGACATCACCACCAATGCCTCATTATGAAAAAGTGCTCATATTTTCATAGTAATTATAAAAGTACTGTTCATTATCACTTATGAACAATGACTTTTTTATAGTTATCATTTAGAACAAACTGATGAAGACAAAGAATTAAGACAAACATGGGCATCCTCAATGCTAAAAGTCTTTTTAGAGCAATTCATTAATTCACTACACATTAGTTTCCAGCAAAACACATAAATTTATGCCCAGTGCACAAATTTGCCAGGGATTAGAAAGTACATATACATGCAATACAGTAAATTCATAAGGTTACCTAATGAATCAGACTTAGAGATCAAAAATAGGTGTCAAATAACTGATTAAAGATACCAAAATCTGGGGGGAAAAATGCTAACTCAGCTTACCATAATGTAAGATAATTTATTATCCAGGAATAGACATGAAAATATTAATATTGATGGTATAAATTAAGAAAGCACGTGATATTTTAGTGAAACATTCAAAACTGTATCTGTTTATAAGGTTATTTTCCTGTTTTATGCAAAAAAACTAAAATTGGTTACATGACTCAAAATACTCTTTTTTCTTAATTTTTGTTTTTATTTTTTGTAGAGATAAGATCTCACTCTGTTGCTAAGGCTAGTCTTGAATTCCTGGCCTCTAGCAATCCTCCTGCCTCAGCCTCCCAAAGTGCTAGTTACAGGAATGAGCTACTGTGCCCAGCCCAAAGCAGATTCTAAATATATTATGTCAATGATAAATTGGTATCCCCTGTAGTAGGCAGATGTTTCCCCTCATGCGCCCCAACAAAGATGTCCTGATCCTAATCCCAGAGATCTATGAATACGCTATCTTACATGACACATGGGATTTTGTGGATTGCCTGCTCTGAAATGCAGGAACCACACAGGAGGACTAGAGAGGCCTCTAGGAGAAAAGTTCAGCCCCTGGTTCACAGTCAGCAGCAAATCTGAACGTTTAGTCCTACAACTGCGAGGAAGTGAATTCAGCCAACAACCCGAAGGAGCAAGGAAATGAATTCTTTCCCAGAGTCTCAGTAAGAAATGCAATCCTGCAAACATCTTGACATTTAACTGGTGAGGCCAATGCTGGGCCTATTACCTATAGAACCATGAGATAATAAACGGCTATTGTTCTAAACACAAAGTTTGTGGTAATTTGCTACAGCAGCAAGAGACAACTAATATGTTCTCAGATGACATCACTTGGCCAAAGGAAGTAAGGGGTGGCCATAACTCAAAAAATCTCAAAAACATTCAATTACAGCAATTTTTAATTGGCTGGCCAAAACTGCATTACAGCATTGAATATTTTGTACCCAGAACCAAACAAAACGGTCAAAGCCCTTACTAAACTGAATAAACAGATAGTCACATACCTAAGTTCTTTTCTCTTTGCAATAAGCCTACAGGGTAGACAGATATTTCTAATTTACATATGAAAAATAAATGACTTTCCTAAGGTTACATGGCTAGCCAAAGAAGAAAAGTTGGTTGTCAGATCCAGCCTCCTCCACCACAGTGCAACACTTCACATTCCCACAGCTGTGATGGGCTCTGTCAGCTGGGATTTCAGGGAGAAGCACTACCAGCCTCTCTTCCTTCCACTCCACACCCACTCTACTTCCACATGGAAATGTGGAAATGCAACTCCAATGTACATGGTAGTTTAGCTTCTCCCCAAGGCTGGAATGCCCTATTCTGGCCAACATCATGGGCTACTTCTGAGACCTGTATTAAACAATATTTGCAGTGACTCCGAACAGCTCTGATAGCTGACTTATATCTGTAAGTAAAGGTGCAAACTATAAAATGACAGACCTTGTTATAACCTCGTGGTCAAGACACTGCTTCAAGGCAGATGCAAGCATTATATTTCCACAAAAGCAATGCAGTGGTTGGCCAAGGTACACACTGAGTTTTCTATTTCTTATGAGGTTTTCTTAGAATACACAGGATGTACAATGTGAAGTAGTAGTACAGTTCTGTTCCTTTCTGAATTACTCAGCATAAACAGAAATTACTTAGAACAGAAAAAGTCTTCTAATACCAGGGGCTTTCCTTTATGTCAAGAATGTATTCAAATGACTCCCGGGCTGCCAACGGGCTATACTTTTACTTATTTTTTAATATATTATGCAATTTTCTAAATACACACATAAATTAAACTAAGATTTGTCTTCCCTAAATATACTTCTATCTAAGTTCACCTAATGGCTCCACATGTAAGTTTTATCAACGTAGAATGAAAGGAGACATTCAGTTGAGCCATGCAATGGCCAAAATAACACCACATCCACTTTATTTATCATTTTCTGCTAAATCTATGTCAACTTTACATCCTCTGTAAAACACACAGTTTCATTTAGAAGCTGCCCTCTGCCAGCCTGCACCTTTCCCTTAAAAGCCACAGGAAAGGAATCAAACCTAGTAGAAACCACCATCACTTTGAAGATGTCTTCTATTTAACACCACAGGGGGAAAGTAATTAAATTTAATAGAAGTTATTGCCTGTGAATGAAAATACACAGTATGCGAGCTAAATTAAATACACTGGGCAGGAGATGCAAAATTTTATACCAAATTTAACATGAACATGTATTTCCTGTTAAAAATGTGTTCTACATTATTACTTTCAAGAATTTCATTTCTGCACTAAGGGCAGTTTTAATCATTTCTTCCTACCAACCTCCCTCCATCTCTTGCTACAATTTTATCAGACACTCCCTTCTGTAAAGTGTTGTTTTCCAAGCCACGAACTGATCGCGAACAGGGAGAGATCTGAGTCTACCTAACATGGAGCCACATGATGCCACTGGAAAATCTTGCAAAACACCAACTGGAGGCCTCAAGATAAAAAGCAAATACACATCGCATCAAATTACCTATCAGGACAAATTGCTCCACATTAATCTCAAAACAGACAAATTCAGCTAAAATTGATAATACTGATTATGTAAAATAAATGTATCTAGCCTGAAGTGAATTGCTATGGTGAGAGGCACACAGCGCCAGTAAGGAAAAATAAATGCTGCACAGGATCTTAGGGTTCCTACTAAAATAACCAGAATACACATTTAATTTATGCTTTCTTTTTGAGGCATAGCTTACCAATTTGGCAACTTTTCCATAGTCAATCCATCTGACAGTAGCAAAATTTGTAGATTCTGCACAGTTGAAACCATGATTAAAACCAGCATGGTAGCCATATGGGAAAGTGATCATGAATTCTCCAGCCTCCTGGGTTATCTGCAAGGTAGGAAACATAATATTTTGTAAAAAATAAGACTTCCCAAATTATGAATACTATTAAAATATATTTGCCATTAAAAAACAAAGGAAAAAAGTCATGATATCAGAGCAATACCAAAAAGAGTTCCACCAGATTCATTACTTAATCCTTTAATAGTGCTTTTTCAGGAAACGTTTAAAAGACTTTCCTAGATAGGATGTGGCTTGCTGGCACTTGAATTCAATCAAACAATCCATAATCAAAGCTATTACATTTTAATTGAAGGTATCTTCAAGTTATTCAAGTAAATTTGTTCATATTTGTTTTGGATTATCTGATCTTAAAATGTTTCTAACCCAGCACCCAATAGGATGGACTCCTCATATCTTTAAATTCTTTAAGTTGCTGCAAAGTAATATAAAAATACTCATAGGATTTGGCCACTGAAGCAATGTTTCTCCTTGACACATATTGTCAAAGTATTTAGCAAATGCTGTATGTTCACATTCAGAGCCTGTATTCTCTGCTAGCTCTGATAATAAAAGTTGTAAAACCACACTTTTAACTATCCTACTGACTCTAATACAATTTATATTTTGAGATATAATGTACATATAATAAAACGCTCAGATAATAAATGTATAGTTTGATCAGTTTTGACAAATGCGTATACCCATATATCCCATGTCCCTATTATTTTCTTTTTTTAATGATAAAAATCCAAGGAAGAAATACATTTATTAAATATATCAACCTCAGAAAATTACTTATCTCTGGGAGGGAGAAGACACTGAAATAGTAATAGCTACATTTGTAGTATTTTGTTTCTTTGGACAAATATCAGTATCTACATATAGCGTTTTTTTAAAGTATTTTATTTTCAGTAACAACTTTATTGAAATGTAATTCACATACCATATAATTCACTCATTTCAAGTGTATAATTTGCTGGTTTTTAGTATATCACAAAGTTATGCAACTATCACCACAATTAATTTTAGAACATTTTATCACCTCAAAAAGAAACCCCCTCACCCTTTAGCTGTCATCCCCAAGCCCCTCATTCATCCCAGCCCTAAAAAAAAACCCTGATTTTCTGTTTCTACAGATCTGTTATTTTGGACATTTAATATTAATAGAATCATATAATTTGTGATCTTTTGTTACTGAATTCTTCCACTTAGCATAAACTTTTCAAAGTTCACCTAGGTTGTAGCATGTATCTGTACTTCACTCCCTTTTATGGCTGAATAATCTTCCATTATATAAAATGTATCACATTTGTTCATTCATCAGCCAATAGACATTTGGTCATTTCCACTCTGGGCACTAGGAATAATGGTGCTATGGATAATTGTCCACGCCCCTATTATTTTCATCGCCCAAGAGTGCTCCCTCATTCCTATCCTAGACCACCCCCAGCCCATCCCCTACTCCCACCTCAGGAATAATCACTCCTCTGATACCTCTCACCACTGATTAGCTTTGCCATGTTATGGATGCTAAAATGGTACTGGAGACAGGGCAGAGTATTCTTTTTCCCAACAATTCTAAAATGTAACTCGTAACACCATTGTCTCCTGCCAAAGAAACCCCAGATGATGTTCTGCTACAATGAGCTCAGTTGTCACCTGGCAGCAGACACAGGCTTACCAGTGCCCAGCATGGTTCTAGCTCCATTATCTGAGCCATGTGAGAACATAACCCAGCTCTCTCCTGTCCTGGTCTCACTGAATCTAATTAATTATCTAGGTGCTTATTTCTTATACTACGTAATGAAACAAAACTCAACCTGCTCCCACATAAAGGTGACAGGAGGGGGAGGACTGCTGCCACTGGAATAAGAAAACTACTTTTCCTGCTCCATGGAATCCTACCTACAAACCTGCTCTACCCTACCTAAAAAATCCTGCTCATGCCATGACTTAAAAAAAAAAAAAAAAAGCACCTGTTCCACAGAATGCAACTCTAAATTTGAGACCCCTGTCATTTCCAAAAACAGGTCAGTCCCAATCTCAAACCACAAAAGAAGCTGAAGAAAAGAGTGGATATAATCTAAATGCAGACATCAGCTGTTTATTACACTTATGGTTTTCATACATATGTATGAATACGGCAAATGCAATGAAAGAAGGAAAAAATGTAATCCAACTGAGACATTATTACCTACAGGAAGAGGGCTGAGTTGAAGAGGAAGAGTACATTACTATGTAACATATACTACGCAAAGCTCTGTCTACAGATGGTCTTTCTCATCACAATAACCCTATTAAGTAGTCACTATTTTTATCCCCATTTTACAGTTGAAGAAACTAAAGCTCAGAAAAATTACGTGACTGAATCAGGGATGAACTCAGGAGGTTTAACGCTGTAGCCTGTGCTACCATTTTGCTGCCCTATCACATGTCACGTTATCATCAGCAGGGAAATGTGCTCCTTGAGGAATACAGTGTCATGACAGGCCCTGTACTGAGATAGAAACGGGAAGTGACAGAATTTCATATAAGGAAGTGCCACTGCCAATCAACCCTCAAAGCCACTAGTGTTTCACCATTTCAGGACTTAAATTTATCTTGCCACTTTCCACAGAAGCCATCCACAAAACACCAGATGAGAACCCGATGCCTCCAGTGATCTACCACGTAGTACTGGTAGACAGCTGCAGCCTAGAAAGAGGGTGCCGGCTACCTCTAGAAAAGAGCTCCAAGCTCCAGAGGCCTCCATCCTGGGGAAAGGGAGCCAACCCCATAGCCCTGCTGCTTCACATAACTTCTCTTCACGTATCAGCCCTAAGCTACCACTAACACCTAACACCAGCCCCAAAGGAACAGAGAAGGATTTTGTGTCTCTGGGGATACTGTTGCACTCCTTCACATCTACCTTGTAATATTCCAACTTAAGTAAAAGTACCTAATGAAGCTGATGCCAACTACTTAAAAGAAGCACTGGATGATGATGTGTCTGAGACTCACAAAAGCCTGGTGCCCAGGTGTCTGTAGACAGGACAAAGCCCCGCAGCCACAGCGGCCCCTCTGAGTGGCACAGCCTGTGCCCTCTGTCCCCCACAGTTCTGCAGCCCATCTCCAGTGCCTCCCTACACCCGCAGGCAGCCCCCACGGTGCACATCTCGGAGGCACGATTTTTTAATGGTAAAAACGTGTGAGTAAACCAGTGATGAGCACACATTCCCAAAAGCAAGCATATCTTGTGCGTGACTGCTGCACAGACAGTTTAGGAGGGAGCAGGGAATCACCTCAAGCTGAAGAATGAATCCCGGCACTTGGAAAAGTTCTACTTTGAACAAATCCCTCCTCCCACACACACACACACACACACACACACACACACACAAAGAAGGCCACAGTAAGAACCCAAAATGAAGAAAATTTAGTCACAAGCGAAAAGCTTCCAAGATGGAAAACAGCAAGGATTATGGGAAGAAAAGTCAAATAAAAAACACAGAAGGAAGAGCTATTTTTTAATGTTTCTGCAAGTAGCTAAGTACTTAATCCTCCCGAGACTCAGAGGGAGCTTTTATTTATCTGGTCAAAACCTTTTTTCATTTCAGCTGCTTCACATAAAAATGTTCAGGCTCTGCAATAATTCTGACCCAGTAACCACCCATAGACACAAAGAATGCGAGATCCAGCATCTACTGAGTTTTATAGAACCTAATCTTCAGAAAACTCGCAGAAGCAATATCAGATTATTAAATCATCAGGCAATTTTATCCATAATGAAATCTCAATTGTATTATGTCTAAATGTGTTTAGAAGCAACATAGTGCTACCATAGTCATGGATTCTAACCAACCCATTGCTAATAATTGCTTTGAATTTCTTAGAAAATAGATCACATATACATAAATTATGTGGCTCATAAAAAAGATTTTAATATAGAAGTGCTTCCTCTTATTTTATAGAATGTGCTACATTTTATTTTCAGTATAAGTGAACTATAGCAACATGACATCTCTAGTAAATATATCTGAAATAAAATTAATTTCTAATTAGGATTTAGATAAATAATTGATATGCTATAAAACATAAATTTGAATTTCTCTACCCACATCCTAAAAATTCTACTTGAAGTTAAAGATACATTATCTCTTAAATACAAATCCTACACAAACAAAATTAATTTGTGTAAGATGAATACTAATATACCTTGTCGAAGGGAATACCATATTTCTTCAATACTGATGGAGAAATCAAAGTCATCTTGTGGCGAAGAAATGCATCACACCCTTGGGAGCTGCTTGGGAAAAAACCTAAAAAGAAACAATAAATGTAAGTGGCATTGTGTCAATTAAGAGAAAATATCAGATAGGATTTTCAATGTGTAAGTTCTAGTGTTCTTACTGTTTGACGTATGCAAGCATAGACCTCTTCCGCCAAAAAGCCCTTGTACTAAAAATCAGAGTTAGAATTCTTAAAAATTAGAGGATACATCACCAAAGGTTGATCTTCTTTACAAACAGATTTACCATAAGTTGTTTTTGTAACCTGTAAAATTACTAAACTTTAGGAATAAATTTCAAATTGAAACAAATGTGGATTCAACCTATTATCTGATAAATGGAAAAAATATTTAGGGAAGTTAGGAAAGATAAATACGTGGGATGCTGGATCTGTAGCTAAAAATACAGGAAAAAAAAACAAAAAAGGAAAGATAAGTATGCATTTTAACAGAAGAATATTTTAGACTCCTAGAGTTCATCATTCCTGAAGCACTCATCCCAATCCTCGGCACACAGCAGACAGAGTAGTTCCCCACCTTTGTTTCTTTTCTGATCAATCTGAAACTAATTGCTACTAATCTCCTGAATGAACTTCCCAGCCATTACCCATCAAATGTCTGAGAACCTGCCTGAACAGCCTGAATGGGAGAAGTGTTTTGGGGAGGCTTTTACATGAGGAAGTTAAACATACAGCAACCCTTTCATTCAACAGTATATTATACGCCAAGACAGAGTCAGTTTTCTCCATCACTGACTTCAAACCTGCAGTTCTGTCTAAGGCAGACTCTCATTAACTCAGTGATGCAAGCTGGAGGAAAATGAACATGCCTGATGTACTGCTCACACCTTCCTCACTCAGAGGGAAGGGAGTCATGCTGAAGGAACTGGAAAAACAAGAAGACAACAAGAAACAAGGAAAAGACATGGAGGTAGACATGGAGGAAAAGTCATGGAGGTAGAACACAGCAGGAAGACAGAAGGCACCAGGAAGGCACATGCAATGTGTATGAGTGACAGGAAGAGGAGCAGATGCTGTCTGACTCCTCCACCACCAAAATGAGGGGTGGAACTGCTGGAAATGTGACATCTAATTCTGTGGATCTCTCTATGCAAACAACTCAAGAACGTGACCAATTTGGCCAGGTACAGTGACTCACCCCTGTAATCCCACCACTTTGGGAAGCCAAGGTGGGCGGATCACTTGAGGCCAGGAGTTTGGGACGAATCTAACATAGCAAAACCCTGTTTCTACTAAAAAATACAGGCCAAGTGTGGTGGCTCATGCCTGTAATCCCAACACTTTGGGAGGCCGCGACAGATCACAAGGTCAGGAGTTCGAGACTAGCCTGACTACCATGGTAAAACCCCGTCTCTACTACAAATACAAAAAAAATTAGCCAGGCACGGTGACACACACCTATGGTCCCAGCTACTCAGGAGGCTGAGGCAGGAGAATCGCTTGAACCCCCGAGGCAGAAGTTGCAGTGAGCCGAGATCACGCCACTGCACTCCAGCCTGGATGACAGAGTAAGACTCCCTCTCAAAAAAAAAAAATTAGGCAGGCATGGTGGTGCATGGCTACAGCTAGCTGCTCAGGAGGCTAAGACATGAGATTTGCTTGAAACCAGGAGGCAAGGGTTATAGCGAACTGAGACTGCACCAGTGCACTCTAGCCTGGGCAACAGAGGAGGGAGGGAGGGAGGGAGGAAGGAAGGAAGGAAGGAAGGAAGGAAGGAAGGAAGGAAGGAAGGAAGGAAGGAAGGAAGGAAGGAAGGGGGAGGGAGGGAGGGAGGGAGGGAGGAAGGAAGGAAGGAAGGAAGGAAGGAAGGAAGGAAGGAAGGAAGGAAGGAGGGAGGAATAGAAGGAAGGAAGGAAGGAAGGGAGGAAGGGAGGGAAGGAGGGAGGGAAGGAGGGAAGGGCAGAGGGAGGGGGGAGGGAAGGGGGAGGGAGGGAGGGAGGGAGGGAGGAGTAAAACATGAGAAATGTTAATTCTTTACAATATTAATAGCAATAAGAAGCATAGTTTTGCCATATATGTCTCTTAATAATGCAGCCTAGAGTTCATCATTCCTGAAGCACTCATCCCAATCCTCGGCACACAGCAGACAGAGTAGTTCCCCACCTTTGTTTCTTAATAATGCAACACAAAATAAAACACTGGTGAGTGGAGGAAAAGTAACACACTAACATAATGGCCATGTCCATACAACAAGATGTTGTAAGTCCTACACACAGAGAAGGGCACCAATGGGCAGTCCCCAAATGCACAGTCTATGGGAACGTTTTTATAAACAATTCAAATGGATCTATCAAACTTCTCAAATCTGTAACTTTCTACAACACTAGATGAATTAAGTTTTAAATTAAAATCAGTGAAGAAAGAAGTATCTATTCCATTTTCTTTTGATAAGGATTTGTAATCAGGTCCTGAACAATGTGGTGACTGGTCATAAGCTAATTTAAATTGGAAAACCACTGAAGGAACGTAATTTGCAGTGTATTAAGAACTTCATATTGGTTCAGAGTTTTTATTTACAATATGCTATCAGAATTATATTTTACACAGTCCTGAAAAACACTTCATAAACAACACATCTTGTGTACAAAGTATGTGCCTTCAAATGAATTTTACCTCAAAGTACCTGCAGGGGCTACACGGTTCATACTCACTCTCACTCCATAGTCTATAAAACATGGTCAATTCTTTGCCATACTAAAGTCACCTGTTTTTTTTGTTTTCGTTTTTTTTTTTTTTTTTGGTCTTTTTTAAGATATTATACAGGATCAAGCAAGCAAAGATGGTCTTTGGAATCATTATTCCAAACCAAATAATAAGTTAGAGGGATGGAAGGCTAGGATAATAAAGAGTTTGTATTCCAGAGACCCCAACAGAGCCCTAAAAGCAATCCACAATAACCTTTCCTAAGAACACCAAAGTGCTGCTGAGAGTTCTGCAACACAGAGAAGTGTGTAGGATCCCATAAGATCTCTCAAAGATCACATGCTATACCCATCCAAAGGATGTTTCATATTCAATGTAAAAGTGAGCACGTGTGAAAAGCATTATTCTAAGTGAAAAAAAGCAAAAAAACAAGTCTACACATAGTATGATTTCACTTACATGACACTCTAGAAAAGGCAAAACGATAGGGACAGAAACTAGGGAAACCAGCGGGTGCCAGCAAAGGGAAGAGCAGTTAAGTACAAAGAGGTGTGAGGGAACTTTTTTGGGGTACTAGAAATGTGTTACATGTTGATAATAGTGGCTTATCATGTGGTTTATTAGTTACACCACTGTAGACCTTTGTCAAAACTCAATGAGCTCTATTCTTAAAATAAGTGAATTTTACTGTAGATTTTACCTGAATAAAACTGACTCAAAAAAATCATTAAATATTTTGAAACTATTTTTGAAATAGAGTAGATGTGTTCTAAAAATATGAAACAGGTGTGTTCCTTCCTTCAAATGAAAAGTTCTCCATACTGTCAACTGGTTTATATTTTATAATGTATTTGCTATTGCTAAGAAATTATTTTTAAATCCCAATCTTTTATGATTCAAATACAAACACACACTATAGTATTAAATCACCAAAAATTTCAGCCTTGAGAAAAGATTTTAAGATCAAAACTTAGTGACTTTTTTATGGGTATACAAACACTAATTTGGCAAAGATAAGGACAGCTGTTAACTTCTTAGGAAAGGGGAGAGAAAGACAGGGAACAAAGGAGGAAGGAAGGGAAGAGAAATCAAACATGTAGATCTATTTCCAAACTAGTAAAAAATTTTTATTGACAATTTTGATAATTTAAATTTGCCCCAAGTATGCATTGATGAAGTTTTATCACGGTTATATATGACCGGGATGAGACCTGAAAAATATATTAACCATATAAACAAATGCTAAGGAAAAGAATACAACAAATGGATACAGAAAATTGGTTCAGTGGAAAACGCTTTCAGAAACAGACGTACAGTATTTGATTTACACATGAAATTTCTTGGCAAGCTTATTTATGAAAAGAACCAATGACCTACATTATATGGGGAGAAACCTAGTAACATTTACCCACATCTCTACTTGAGAGATTTACACGAGAGGCACATACTACATTTGGCCTCTTGGTACTTCCTATCATTCATGGAGTGGTTACTCAGGACTGGATAGAAAATTATCACTTCCCAGGCCTCACTCAACCCTAACATCCCATAATCCATCAACATCTCTACTGCAGGACTCTCCAGGAGGAGTGCCAGGAGAACTTCATACTGATCTTGGGATAGAGAAGAATGGCGCTTTTCCTAAGCAAGTGGCTTGTTTTAATCTCCTAGACATGGTGTGCATTGTGTAATGGGCAAGTTTTTTCCATTTCAAGATAATCAGCAGAAAACCTAGAGTTAAAATTTCCACCCAATTTAACTGGTATGTGTATCATTAAATGCATGGTTTTTTTACTGCATTCCTGAGACCACTTTATTTCAGCTCTCACTTCCCACCCCCTTGAAATGTCACATAGATAACCTACACACAAGTCACCAAGGACTCCCCAAGCCAAGAACATTGGGATCAAACAGGTCAGAGTTAAACTAACCAGGATTCTTCTGGCTCTGCCTCTGCCCAGCCCCATCCGTACCCTCAAATCATAGAAATCTTCGTTTCCACAAAATTCCTCCCTACTTACTAGTTGGCATTCATTTCCTGAATTCTTCCTCTCCATTCTCAGTTAAGAGAAGGAAACTAAAAGTCTTTCACTCACATATGAATTATGCTATCTGGGTGTATTTCATGTATTATTATCCAATGTCTAAAACCCTACTAGGAACATGGCTGGATATAAATTATCCAATAACATTTAAATACAGACAGTGATATCACTGACATTAAATTATTAAGAAATTAAGTTTACCAACTATTTCTCTACTCATAGTGAAATCCAGCTGACAGACAAAAATAAACACACCCTGACCTGCCACACACTGATCTCCATGCCTAAGGCATGAGTGAGGCATGAAGGCAGAGGATATATCACTGGTCTTTTGCATTTTTTATGGCTTACAGGGCACTTTAAAATTGATTATTTGTAATCAGAGGTATTTTATTTATAAGCCTTTCAAAACTAGACATTTTAATATAATATTTCAGACTATCAGCTAAGTGAATGCTTAAGGGAACAATATTTACCATTTTGAGAGCTAATAAAAGTACATTTTCCTAATTCCAAGAGAGAAGTATGAGAGCAGGTTAATTTAGAATCCGGTCATAAAATTAAAATGATTTATTTATTGCTGCTCTTCTATTCTCTTGACAGGAGAGGCTCATAATCTTTTTTGGGCCAAACCATCTCAGGGGATTTGATGATGGCATTCCCAGAAATCTACATATATGTCCAATTTTGAATACAATTTCAAAGAGTTCATAGAATGCCTGTCTGCATCCCACCCATAGACCTTTATCTACCCCTTGGCACAGGGATCCCTGCAAATCGGGCTGTGACCTTCTACTCCACAGGATTAAAATCAAGATTACTAGTCATTAAAAATATTCTACATCGTGCGTGCACGTGCGCACACACACACACACACACACACAAATGCTTAAAAGCATGAACTAAACTAACCCTTGGTAGCAATGTTTCTTCTATTCCCTTTGCTGAATACTGCTTTTTTAATAAGGTAACAAAATCAAAACATTTGTTTCAAGTAAATATAAGGATCTAAAAGAATTGACTCACTTCCACTATACTATTCTTTGAAATAAGTTCCCTCCTAATCATTCACACTTTCAAAACTGGCTGCACAAAGTCCTAAATCACATATTTTGGCCAAGTAACCAAAATTTTCAAAGTAAATCCTTTCCAGTTTTTTTAAAATAATAGCATTCTATTCCCAATAAAGGACAAATGAAATACTACTTTCCACAAAAATCTGCAGACTTTCTCAATTTACCTTAATCTATATTTTGCTTAATGTAATATAACAGCAATATTACCTTTTTTCTAAAATAGGTGAGATTTAGACGTTTTAAAAACTGAAAATCTTCCAAACTGTCATTCATGATTTAACATTATACCTCCCTTCTCCTCCATATTTGCAATCCAATTGTATCAAACCAAAAATTAGAAAGAACGCAATGGCATTACAGATGACTATAACAAGTATAAAAATTGTAACAATTCACTTGAGATTTTTTATTACATTTCTGTCTACATAATATTGGGGAAAACCTGTATAAATGAGAAAGCAGCTGAAGGGCAAAATCAAACTCCTGGCTTTATTAGATGCAGGCCTAATGTCTTTCAGATAAAATATTTGTAGGTGCCACAGTCAATCAAGATTTCAATAGAAACCAAAGATGAAAGCATTCACGCATAAAAGGCAAGTGTGATAATTATGATGCACAGACAAGATAATGGAAAATATCTGAGCCTACTTTTCATTTTATGTATCAAGTGTTGCTATGAGCTAGATATTCTATAATACTCCATCATTCACACAGCATTGTTTTATCATTTTAATTATTTAGCAGAATTCAATTAATTTGGCTGGCATCTGGTCAGCAGATACAAATCCTTCACTATCTTGTAGGGTCTTTTCCCTGCTTTATTTCCCAAAATATTGCTGCAAAACAGTTTTGAATAAACAGCCAATTGATTTCAAGTTCTTGTTCATCCTTCAAATTCATTAACCTCTTACTGATTAAACAAACGGTAACCATTTTCTGGAATGTCATTTTCAGACAGTTTACTTCAAAGCATTAGAAGTTTGTATTAGAAATTTTAATCTGTGACTCAATATTGCAAGGTTTACATCGGCTTCATTTTAAAAGTTCTCTGGTAGGAAGATTAATAGAAAATGGTGGAATAATTTTACTACAGAAGAAGATACTTGAGTATATAGTGTTAACACATAGTTCACTGCCTATGTAGTTAAGGGTTATGGTAATCATCTTATAATCTATTATCCAAAATCTATTCATGAAAACAGTCCCTAACAAAGTTCAAGATTACATCAATCTTTATTATTACTATAATGTATTACATTTCTAAAAAGACGCTTTATAGTTATTAGCCTGACAAAATTATAATAATGCTTCTTAAAATGCAATACTATAACTGTTCCTTCTAATACTCTTCTGTAATTTAGGGGAAAGTAACCTTTGGTGCCATTAACAGTTTCTGTTAAAAACTGTCAAGTCAAGGAATGAGGTTTCTCAGTGTCTCCATTTCATTATTAATTGAAAGCACATATAAGGCAGGAACAAAATTCTTTTCCTAATAAAAGGCAAATCTAACACACCAATGAAACTTAGACCTGCACTGGACTAAAAGAGCACTGCTCGCTGAGGACTCAATCCTGGATAAAGGCAGAAGGCCTTGCTCCTCAGTTGCCACTCAAATGGAACTCCACTTTTCCCTGGAAATAATTCACTACCAGCCTACGTCTTCTTTCGGGAAGGGTGGCTAGCAAAACAGAAAATAAGGATGGCAGGGGGTGAATGTGACTCTGCTTCCCATACATAAGCAGATGAGGGCAAGGCTGCCTGGTGTATCTTTAAAAACAAGGAGGAAGGAGGAAGGTGGCTGCTTGCACTGGCATTGTCTGCACACACAAAAGCAGGCACAGGACCATCAATAGAGGTCCAGAAAAGTTCTTTAGTCTGGCCCTTATAAAGAAGCAGCAGGCCATGAAAAATAAAAATTCAACCTGCAGTAAAGTAAGTTTAATTTTGCCAGTCCAAAAAGGCCCAAAATCTCGTGTATTGTTACTCAGAGCCATTCACCTTCATACTTCCATAAGGGCACACTCCCAGTCCCAGTGGGCCACAGAAGAACTGAGTGTCGGCAGTGACATAACCCTTGGGGGAAACAGTAGATCAAAAGAAAAAGTAGTCATGAAACAACCGTACCCCAAGACGCAGCAACAATACTGTCTGGAAGAATGAAACTTAATTTAAAAAAAAATTACTGGCACAATGATGTCAAATACATTACATTAAAAACCATTTTTTCAGAAACAACCAAAACAGATTAAGGGCAATCACTTGATGAAATACTAAACAGTCAACCAAAATAACCATGATGATTATGCAACAGGGAAAAAATAATATTCACAAACTAACGTGAAACAATCTAAAATTGTTCAATTAAAAAAAAAACATGTAGAAGTCAACAACTTGAATAGAATAAAACCAACAGAGTAACGGTCTATATTGTAAAAAGTACCTCAAAAACAAAGAACCTACAAAACACAGAAACATAAAACACAGAAAACAAAGAAAGCAAGTTTTACCTTGAGCTAGTCTTTCAAGTCGTTTTCCATGCTCTGGAGGTATAGCATACCTAAAATTTTAAACACAAATAAAAAATTTAGGTTTATAATTTTTCAGCTAGTAGCCTAAGGATATCTATTCCTAAATAATATCACATAAAAGAAATTCAACACGAAACTCCACTTAGATGAACTGAGTAGAGATTAGAAAGCCAATCACAGAATCATATCCCTTAGACAACGAACAGCAGAAAAATATGCTTACAAATTACCAATTTCAATGTCACAACTCATCGTGCCAATCATATTTTAGAAATTAGGGAACAAAGGCCCAAGGTAGGTAAACTGCTCAGCAACAAGATAGCTAGTCACAACCTGGAGACCCTCTGCCAGCTCTCATAGCACTGTAGCACTCTAGGGTTGTTTTTGGTTGTATGTTTTTTGTTTTGTGGTTGGTTGATTTTGGCTTTTGTTTTTAAGAAAATCTGGGTTGCTCTCTTTTTAAATTTTAAAATATTTTTATTGACAAGCAGAACAGAACATAAAATTATTATACCAACACTTATATTTTCACCAAATGTTACTAAGAACACTGTAATTTTCAAACAGACTTTAAGCAAAAGATTATCAGCCTTAAAAAAAGTTTTTATTCATTTCATAATTATGTGACTTTAAAAATCTTGATTATAATAAAAAGTTTTCACCCTTAAAGAACAGAAATACTCATTTCTAGTTCCACAGTTATTTTTACTATGGCCTTGCTAAGAAATTTTAAAACAACAATCCCATAATATCCTATATAAATACTAAATTGTATAGGCATTTTAATGAGAAAATGTATGGATATTAACAATAAATCTGAATAATCATTCCATGTTTTACATATAAACTATACTTTGGAAGACCTCTATTTGCTGTAGTTACTAGCTCAATATATATTTAGTATAAGTTATTTCTTACTAAAGTAACTTAACTAATTGTACTTAACACAACACTTGGTTTCATTTAATGCTACTGATAACATATGCAAAATTTAATTGGATCCGATGTAACTAGGCAATTCACTAAAAGAAAATTCAATCATATAACCTGTTGCTTAAGGCACTGCTAATGAAATTATTCCAACTGAAATGGGAAGATAAAATTTTAGCATAACTACATGATGATCACTCAATGTATATTTTTGCCACTTCTTACCAGTTCTTAATTCCTTGCTTACATCACAAATATACCCAGAAAAGGGGTGTGGGTGTAGGTGTGGGGGTGGGGGTGTGTCCATTCCAAACAAGAGTCAACCTTCCTCAACTCATCACACACATACATACACACACACACACACACACACACACACACGTAATATGAATATGCCTGCCAACAAAAGGTAGGATATGGAGGTATTTATATATGCAGATTTATTTTTCTGAAAAATTGGTAAGGTTAAAGCTCCTCAATCTAAAGTTCAACCATCTGCTCAAAGAAAATGTAGCTACCCTCATCTGGAGAAAGGAGGAAAAAGTAAGGCAAGATAGCTCTACCCCTACTCTGATCCTCAGTTTACTCCTAGGATCCGAATCATACCAATTCAATCTCCTCATTCCTCTCCTCCCAGCTGGGCTTACTGGCCTATTATTTTCTACAAGTATTTCTCAGGTGCAGTTATTCCTACCTTAGCCAAATGATCTAATTAGTTCTACTTTTCTTCTTTTAGATGGAAGACAGTGTCTCAATTTCTTTTCATAATCTATAAAGATCAAGTTCATTTTAAAATCGTAACTATTAATAAAATTCTTACAGTTAACCAACTATTGCTATAGTTTAATAGCTTCAGAAATAATCGAAGGATGAAAACTTGCTTCCAATCACAGCCCCGTACACAGAAGACATGTAATATTTCCCAAGTAGAACTAAATCCTCACAATGAAAGCCATACTGTGGTAATATCCAGCGAAGCACAACTAGACAAAAATGCCTTCAAGGAGAGGTCACTCTCCTTCCCTGCCTTAGTCATTAACTTGCTCAAAGTGAACCTACTCATCTCCATGCTTATCCCTGTGAAATATTTTGCATGCTTCTCTCTTCTGTTATCAATGCTATGCTTTGTTGCGTAGTATTTAAATAATGACATAGCTATGCAATGTTTCGTATACAAATAACTTTAAAAGTTCCCCGAATGAGCCCAATACCCTGCCCGAGGGTCTGACAAAGGACAGTCTGAAGATAAGTAATAATGCTAATAAAACTGGAATGTAATCATCAGATTTTTCTGTTTTTAATGTTTCCACATAATAAAGGAACTAGGAGGCCGGGCGCGGTGGCTCAAGCCTGTAATCCCAGCACTCTGGGAGGCCGAGACGGGCGGATCACGAGGTCAGGAGATCGAGACCATCCTGGCTAATACGGTGAAACCCCGTCTCTACTAAAAATACAAAAAACTAGCCAGGCGAGGTGGCGGGCGCCTGTGGTCCCAGCTACTCGGGAGGCTGAGGCAGGAGAATGGTGGGAACCCGGGAGGCGGAGCTTGCAGTGAGCTGAGGTCCGGCCACTGCACTCCAGCCTGGGCGACAGAGCGAAACTCCGTCTCAAAAAAAATAAATAAATAAATAAAAAATAAAGGAACTAGGAACGACTAATTTTAAATTTTTAGAAATTCAACCAAGAGCCAAATCATTGTTCTTGCCATGAACAGTAAAATCAGAGCACTACCCTACTCAGCAGTCAAGAAGCAATATGCCTCCATGTACCATCTTGACAACCCGAAAATCTTGCTCAAAAGATACTATTCTTTAATCAATTATCTCACTCTGTCAATAAAGCCCAAGGAGATCAAAGAACAATTCTGTTTTCTACATACAAGTCACAGGGCTGGAAGGGCCCTTAAAAATAATCTTGTTTAGCACTTTCTAAACCTTTTTTCTGTTTCCATACCATTACAGAGGCAGAATCACGAACACCTCTAATTATCAGCAATAACTGGCACCTGGGAGAATGAAGGACAGCAGAAACACACATCCCTCAGGGATGCAGTACCCAGTGTACTCTGAAAAAAGCTCCCTAGGTGATTCTGACAGGGCAGTACATTATGATGAATGAACGAAAGAATGGGGTGATTTCTAATTACCATATCTGAGAACCTTTGCTTGGTCCTGACTCCCCATAACCTTCCCGATGTCAGATGATGGATTTGTGTATGCCATGCTTTTTTATGTTTTTCCTTCAGGTTTTTTTTTTTTTCCAGTAATACCACAATGAATGGCCCAAGTCAGAATTCTAAACAAAAGCTTCACATAGCACTTTCAAACCTGCAGTCAACGTGTGTAGGCTGACAGACAGCCCTTGCCTGTAAGAAGGTGGGCACCCGGCTTCAGGGGCACTCAGTCACATTGCATTTGAGCACCAGACTCACTGTCTTCTCTGCAACAGCACCCCTGCTAACCCTACACCATGGCACTACCTTGATAGGCAACTGCAGCAATTTGAAGCCAAACACAACTCTAATCTGTTTCAAAGTATACCATGAGAAGAGAGAGAAAGAAAGGAAAGACAACAAAACAGCAAAGTGCATATGTTTTCATGTGTTTTCCACCAACCAGCCTCCTCTGGTAGAGGGGAACCCACATTCGACAAGAACTGGAAAGCAACATCTAAGAGACATTGCACAAGCTGCTTCACAACTGTCAGACCTCGTCTACCTCACAGAACAACGTGGAACGGATCGGCTGAGTCATATTAGCTCATTATTAAATGACGGCTAAATCACTTCTTGGCCTTTTGGCTAAGATCAAGCGTAAATGATGGCTACAAGGCAATGAGGTGAGCCTGACTTGCTGCCCCCCACATCCAATAAACTTGAGAAAATGTTCAAAATACATCAGTTCAAACAATCCTAACATCAAGGGTCAGACAGGCACATAAAAGGCTGATTACAATTTGAAAGATCCCAGGAAAGCACAGTACCTTTTTGCAACCCATTGGAATATCCAAAACTCAACCCTCCAGCAGCCTGACGATCAGGCCCTATATTCTCTTTCTCTACTGCACCATCACAGCCCTGAGCAAATGCAGGATACTCAAATCACCGGGTGGTTGAGTCATTCGGATTACTGTCCCAAAATTTTCCTTTATGATAGATGTGCTGCTAGTAAGAATCACTTTAAAACAAACTAATTCAATTCAGGAGATAGTTGCTGAGGACCTGCCACATCTAAAGCATTGCAGTTCAAAGAACTCAAGGCATTTTCCATGTAAGTAGCGGGGGTAGAGATACATACAGATATTGCTAAGACCTATCAGAGTGAAGCCTAGATTGTGGCACGTGGACCTCAGCAACATCAAGTGACCAGGCACACGTACTATCATGTGGCAGTTAGTGTGAATAAGAGGAGGGTAAAAGAGAAGGGAAGACCTCCGATTTCTCAAAACACCCAAAGTTATCGCCACTAGGGATGAACTCTAATGCCTCAACTCTGGGACAGTTCTCTTACATCTGAAATAAGTATCATTACCTATTTACATTTCTAAGATAACTTCATAGTTCTATCTACCAGGTACCAGGACAAAATTAGTTTTCCTGTCCTAAACAGGAATAAGATACAGCAAAACACCCACTCCTCTTTCCAAGCTCAGCTCAAGACCCCCCAAAGAGAACTCCCACTCCCTCTCTTGCTGTATCAACAATCCCACATGCAGGCGTCCACCGTGGCACTCAGAATACATGTGTATGTCTACCTTCCTGCCTCCCTGCTATCCTATCTCAGCTCCCTAAGAGGAAGAGTCTATGGCTTTCTCCTGGAATACAGCACCAGAAGAACAGATATTCTGTGTTTGCTGACTTGTACCACTCTCAAATGATAAACCATATTCCTGCTCCTCCAAGATGGAAGTCCTGGAGAAGAGGAAGGAAAGGGAAGATGAAAAAATCATGAAAGCAGAAAATGGGAAGGAAGACTATGTTAGCAAACCTCATTTCCTGACTGTAGGGTCAGCCTGGCCTGCTCAGGACTAACTGCTGCCATCCTCAACTTCCAGATCCAATCAAACGTCTACTTCAATTAAACTCCCAAGACTTAAGTGT